AATGTTATTTGGAATTAATGTGGATTTAGGTCATGCAGGTTGTATGTCATGTTTTTATCGACTTACGTGCATAATTATCAAAATAATGAGTTAACTTGTTAATAGATGACACATCTTGAAGTAATTAAAATGTAAGTTTCCCAAAACATGTCCCGATCTGAGATTTCAGACTTCCTAGTCTACAGAAATAAACGAAATTCAGCTTCCATCTGTACGATTCTGTAAAATGATTTAATAGATTCTTAGCATTGAACTTGCATCCTGAGCGGCCTATTTGACTACAGAGCATCAACAATGTTCTGACTTTAGTGTTTCTATATGAGAATGAGATGTAAGTACCAAAACGAAGCATAAGTGCCTAGATTCAAATTATAAGCTGTTGTTCAACAACTGATGAACTACGCTTACTACAAAATCTTAAAATTCTGGGTTCGGTATTTTGTGTGATGTTGAGGAACTCCAATTTGGACCAAAACACCCACGCTGTAATTCTTGATCTTCATTGGTTTTTCATTTCGTATCATTTTATAGTGAAAAAGTGCTCACAAAGCAGAAGGGTGTTTCTAAAGAACACGTTTCAATCTGGGCACCCGGTTAGTGTCAAAGCCCACACACGAATCAAGTGACTTGTGTGGTGAATATGTTTCCAGTGCCCCCTTTGTACCAATAATCATGTGTTCAAATAAATAAATAAAATGTTAAAGATTAACTTACTAGCTTCTTAGTGGTTTTTTCATTTTTGAATTGATTTACCTTTTGTCTCGACTATAGATTTCACTTAAATTCAGTAGTCAAACGTTCTCATTGTAACTATCTTATAGAGATAAGATTTGTTTATTTGAACACAAGCACTGGTAAAAGGAGGCGCCAAATATATATGCGCCACACAATGACAATAAGGCCAGTAGTAGTTCTCATTGATTTGTGTGACGACTGTGATACTGCCCGGGTGCCCAAACAGAGGCAGTTGATCTTCTTAGGGGGTCACTCCCCAAGACTTTAACTCAAAGGTCTAATCCACAAGGCAGTAGAGCGACGCTAAGAGATGCAGTCCCATGGTAGCCGGTGCCAAACAAGTTCGTACTCAATTTATCCCCTCAGGATCATGGATCCCATGTGCACCAGTGGTTTGGAATCAGGATTTTCCAACTCCCCTAGGTGGATCTTCCATATCCACCAACCCGGTTAAAGCACCGAACATTCGCTTTTCGTCCTCTGAACTTCGTAAACAGAGCAGAACTTCCCTGGCAGAGGCTATATACGCGTGGTCATGTGAGAGCATTTCGAGAGGGCTGGCTCTCCCCACTCGGCCGTACCTTGTTTATTAAGCATTGTTAGTACATGTATGTAAGCTGAAAAAGTGGAGGCGATTTGAAAATATTTAAATTAAAAATCAACACCTCAAATCACAAATCTTTAACTCCACCAGTGAGCAACCAAAGGGCATCAACGACCCAAAATGCAATAAATCAAGTCTGCACGTTTTATTTGTACTCATTTTATATCATTGTTGTGGAAAATAACAAACTTAGTTCTAGTTTACATATATATGGTCGAATACAGATAAACATTTCGTATCTTAATGCTTAGTATTTGCGGTACCGCTGTGTTCCCAAAAATATATTATTTATGTGGTTGGTTTATCATCGCTCTATTGTCCTTTTTTACTCAAATATTCATCGACTGAGTTTGTCAAGCCTAGTTTTGTATCATTATGACTCATCAAACAAAACATCTGACTTTTCTTTAAGGCTATTGTCAATAGAAAGAAGACATATGCCATCATTCGTGCAATATACAATCATAGCCACTCTCCTGAAGACTTCGAACGTGAATTAGATTTTGTACTAAGTCGTAAAGTATGTATGGTCATTATTGAACCAGAATCTCTCGGTGAAGTAACGTGGCGATGGATTCGTACGGGTAACTGGTTACATAAAACAGCTGTTATATCAGGTAAGACTTTTAGCACTTTACCATCATCTCCAATGATTGTTTCATTGTGTATTTTTTACTGCATTCAAAATAATGAAGTGCCTTATTTACTGATAACTGTCTACAGAATATCTCACCTTGTTTCCCGAGTTACGTTTTCCGAAAGCTACTGTTTAAACTTCTATCATCATAGTACAAGATTACTTCGTAGGAATTCTTCCCACGCAATGCTGAATGACAGCTGACTGTATTGAGTACATCATATGCCTAGGATCTGTTTGGTTGCTAAACGGAATCGTGGTTTTGAACATTTCATTGGTGTTGCAGAGTCGAAAATGCCGCATTCATATTAGTAAGGTGCCAGGCTATAAGAAAGGACAAAAGTCCTCCTGTGACAATCACAGAGGAATTAGTTTGACTAATGTAGTGTCTAAAATATTAGCTTCAATAATACTTCGACGTCTAAACAAAGCTCGTGAAGAGCAGACTAGAGAAAACCAGGCTGGTTTTCGACCTGGACGTGGTTGTATAGTCCAGATATTCACACTACGTCAGGTCCTAGAACATAGACACACATTCAGACGCCCCAAAATCGTCGTATTTCTCGACCTTAAGGCGGCATTTGACTCGGTTAACCGTGAAGTTCTGTGGCAGTGTTTGTCAATGAAAGGAGTACCGAAGAAGTACATTAAATTTATACAGGCTCTCTACTCGAACACAACTGGTCGAGTGAGAGCTTACGGCGTAGTGTCATCAGAATCGATTACGTCAAGTGGTGTTCGTCAGGACTGTCCACTCTCTCCATTCTTGTTTAACTTTGTCGTTGACATGCTTCTAGAGATAACATTTTCCACATCTGACTTTCCAGGGGTTAAACTTCTACCGGGTAATTCACATTTTGACTTAGAATATGCCGATGACATAGTTCTATTTGATGAAGACGCTGACAAAATGCAGAGTCTGCTGACCACTCTAAGCAACAATGTAGGTATGTTCGGCATGCGATTTTCTCCCTCGAAATGCAAAATGTTGCTTCAGGATTGGGTTGCATCGACACCGGAACTAATGATAGGGAGGGAAGTAGTTGAGCGTGTCGACTGCTTCACTTATCTTAGAAGTCTCATCAGCCATTGTGGTCTGGTATGTGACGAGATCTCAGCACGGATACAGAGGGCTCGACTAGCTTTTGCCAACTTGCGTCATTTATGGCGTAGGCGAGATATCCGTCTATCAACCAAAGGACGTGTTTACTGCGCAGCAGTTCGTTCCGTCCTACTTTATGGCAGTGAAACATGGCCGGTAAGACTAGAGGATATTCGTAGGTTACTAGTATTCGATCATAGGTGTCTTCTAAGCATTGCTCATATATCCTGGGACCACTGAGTAAGTAATGCAGTTGTTAGGAAACCGGTACTAGGTAAGGATGGCAAATCAATTGATGAAGTAGTGAAACTTAATCAGTTGAGATGGTTGGGATACATGTTACGTATGCCCAACCACCGACTGCACCGATGTGTGGTGTTTCCTGGTGTAGGAGTAGGTTGGAAGGAAGCTAGGGGCGGTCAGAACAAAACGTGGCACAAATCCATGAAGTCACTGACAAGTGGACTGAGCGATGTTGGTAGGTGTAGACTACCTGATTGGGGTTCGCGAGACGATAGCAACTGATGGTTAGAGACCTTGAATGACATGGCTCAAAATCGTTTGCAATGGCACAGGTAGGTGCATCCGCTCTTTGTGTTCTCTCAAACTCTAATCTTCTGAATTCTTCATGTCCTTTATTTTCTTTCCGAATCTATTCCACTGGACTATACTCCTTAAATAACATCATCAAACCCTAATGTTCTCTATCACTACTTATACTTTCACTACCTCTACCACTATGGGATTTGAATCGATAACTGAATCTCTGTGCTAATCTGGTATTGCAACTCGAACTTATGTACGTACGTACGAAGTTCCACGTTGTTTCTGACTCATTGACTGATTCATAAGCAACGTCGAAGCTGGGGCACGTGTGCTTCTTTAAAAGTTTTCACACCATATCAGCATAACGGGATGAAATTATCAAGATAAATAATGGGGTGGTAGAAGTGGTAACAGTATTTACGGTAATTACTTACTTACTTACTTACGCCTTTTACTCCTAATGGAGCCACTATCCGGGGGCTACTGCCGGTCCCAAGCCCGGATAAAGGAGGGTTGGGCATGGGGTTAGCGTCCCCATCCCGTAGAAAACTAACTCGCTAAAAAAACGCTAACCAGAAAAAATTATTCAAACCATTTACGGTAATAGGAAATATAAATTGCGGAAAGTGCAATTTTAAGAGGAAATAAGAATTCGTGGGTTAATAAAGAAACTTAAAACTATTTGCAAACTTACTATCTAAATAGACAGAAAGAGAAGGAATTACTCATTTGAGTAACATAGGAGGGTATGTAACACTAACTTCATTTGAAGTCTAAATATTAAAACTTAACTCTGTATGAATGTAATCAAGAGTGAAATATAGAATTTGATATAAAACTCAAGGTTTACAAGATAAAGAATAAATGTAGATACTATTGTCTGACAGCCTTAACTATTATACTGTTCTACTTAATTTGCGTTAATACCTTCTGAGTATTCAATTGAAACACATAGTCAAGTATTCACTTTTCATTGTCAGCCAGATGCAATGCTTGCTAGGGATGTCTATACACTAGTAAATGGCACATAAAGAGGAATAAAGTTTAATGGCCAGTAGCATGTGCTCATTTGTTAGATAATCTTAACATTCCTATGGGGTTATGGCTCAGTTGTAACGGCACTTAATTTCAAATTGCCAAACTGCCTGTCTAAATCTTTCTCTGTATGTTTCATTTTAGATGATCCGTTGGTATCTACATCCTTCATATAGCATCTATGTGATAAGTCTTGCGATTTTGAACGCTATACTCGATTCCTAAGCTATTCTTGAAAACCCCCAAGCTAGAACTATACAGAGACCTGAACACGAGAGAGAAGGCGCAAAGTATGCGAAAAGTACTTTACTCCAAGGTTCATTTTTGTACAGAAAAACATGGGTATTTATAGATGTTAACATTTGTTAAATCAACATCATATTTTGACCAATCCGCTAAAAGACATATTATGCTACTGACCAATAGTAGCACGCCACGTTGGCATTCTAGAAAGCTCCATCGTGCTCTGATTGGCTAAGACTCTGGCTCCTTCAGGGCCTCCGGAGGCTCTGTTGCAGTTCTCGGAAAGCCGACTTAACACTATGACCTAAAGATTAATATTTGTACTTATTTACAGATTCTAAAATGCGAATGAATATTGTTAATGTTTTTACCAAACATACATGGTCGTGCGTAGTTTTATTCCATACTCTTATAAATGTAAATTTAGATTTTTATTTTCCGAAAACGGCCATCATTTGTTAACTTACTGGTGATAAGTGTTGATTTGTTAATTGATTTGATACTTGTAAATTAAAATGATCGATCGTAAAGGATTTATTTGTAGGAATATTTACAATAATTGTGTATTGACTTTTGTTAATATATAATACTGATGACCAATAACTGAATATATTTCGTTTTAAATTTGCTTGTCGTTTTCACAGGAATAGCTGCTGTAACTACAGCTGGAATTGGTTTTATGTGGAATTCTACATTTTCTAAAATATACTTTCCGTTAGACCTCGGTATTCGTTTGTTTCCTACTGTTCGAACAAGTGGTGCCTTGATTACGATCACACCCAGTGTTATTCGATTTATTACAACTACATTGAGTGCAATTAGCGCCTCTGCTGCAGGATTATATGCATTGTTTTGGCAATGGGATCCATGCTGTAAGTATCAAGTTGCACCATCGCTAGCATCTCTGCCAGTTGGAACAGCTTCCTTTGTAACAAGTAGTAGTCATGCCTTGACGAATTCACATCCAGATGATAATTCGCCAGGCAGCGGAATGAGCAACGGTGAAAGCCCCAGTGGTTCTTCGGAAATAAGTCGAGCAAGCAATGGGAAGCGTGCTCGAGCTATCATCGCAGAGAATCATTCCAATTCAAATAGTCCTCCATTACGTCCAGTGGTTTTAGTTCATCGAGATGATGGAAGACGAAAAATACTGCATAATGCCGTCTCTCTAACTTCTACTCTAGTCGCTTGTTATATTCTTTTTAGATGGTCTAGACATTCAAATATGATTGTTAGTAATCCTTAGTTTTGTTGTATCCTTGTCTGTCGTAGTCTGCCTGTTTTCTTATATGGAATAAACATACTAACCTCTTTCGCCCAACATATGTAGAGAACAATTTCTTCCTTTTAGATTATTTTTTTCCTAAAATCTGCGTTACAGTATCCTATAGTTTCATAATATTTTTAACTATCGGGTACTATAAGTATTTTAACAAGCATTTTTACAGTCCATATATTTATTTTTTTGTCCTTGTATCCATGTTAGTATGGATTTAATTAGATCACTTTCTCGTTGTTATAAAAAATTACTATTAGTACCGGTCTCTTATTATTTCTATAGTGAGAATCACTTATTGCGCTTCATTTTATTAGTAAAATGCTCACATACCAATTAAATTGTAAATGTATTATCTTTATAACAACTCTTAACAACATTGAATCTTTCTTGTGTTTCTTAGTTTTTATGGACTACTTGAAAGATTTTCAGTTTTATGCTTACATCTTAATGTTCGGCCACCAAATATCGTCGTTTTTCTGGTTGTATCGATTCAAAGCACTATGTAAATAGATTGTTGGTGAATGTCGCAACCTCAAATTTGATAACAGTTCAGTCTTTATAACGTACGCTTAATGATTTGTACAAAAATATTAGTACTAACGAAGAACGACGGGGTTTGCAGATAATATTATCAATTTATTAAGTTTTATTGTGTTCTCTTTAGCTGCATTTATGCCAGTAAATTGAATTATTAACATAATCAGAAATTTAGAGACGAATCATTCAACATATTGTTTGGGAATAAAGAGGTAGAACGCTATTTCAAGGTGAAAAATAATTGTGAAGGGAGATTTTTCATTAATTGAAGTTACATTTTTGAAATATTGCAATAGATGGTTTCATTATGCCTTGTAATCGAATTTCTACAAACAGGTTGGTAAGAAAAAATGACAGATATTTCAAAATAAGTTCATTGAATTGAAATCGTAGTTAAAAGAGAAAAGGACTTATATTGTTTACTGCTATTATTGGAGAAACTAAAGTTTAACTATTGGTATTTTTAACACAAAAGGTCAAAATATCTTTTCTAAATTGCTAATAACTTCAGTGAATATAGGAGTAGAATTTTTCTTGCTAAGGATAATTTTGAATACTTTTATTATATGGATGCCGTATATGATGGATGGTACAATATCGAGCTACGATATCATTTGGCCCGATGCGAAGCAGGTCATTTAAATACGCTAATTGATGCCTCGATGTTCCTTCTCTTTCTCTCTCTCTCTCTCTCTCTCTCTCTCTATATATATATATATATATATATATATATATATATATATATATATTGGTGACGGTTATGGTAGTTCCCCAAGTTTCAGCTCCATACAGTAGAACTGTCTTGACGTTCGTATTATAGATTCTGATTTTGATATTGGTTGACAGTTATTTTGGGTTCCATATGTTCTTCAACTGTAGAGACACTGCTCTTGACTCGCCAATCTTTAACTTTACGTCTGCATCAGATCCTCCTTGTTCATCGATGATGCTGCCCAGATACGTGAAATTTCCCACCTGTTCCATCGTTCATCAAGTAGGATTGAGTTGGTGCTCTCTGTGTTGTATTCGAGGACCTTGCGTTTTTCTTTGTATATGTCAAGGCCTACTGACGCAGAGGCTTCTGCTACAATGGTTATCTTGACCTGCATTTGTTGGTGTGTATGGGATCGAAGGGCCAGGTCATCTGTAAAGTTCATATCGTCTAGTTGCATCCAAGCTGTCCATTGTATATATCCGTGTGAGATTACCGTGATCGATAAGGATGTCGGAGGTGGGTAGAGTCTAAACAGGTATCCAGAAACTAGACATGCATAATCAATATATTTAGGCACCTTAAACTTAGACTAACTATTAAGTTTAACTTTGTAAGAGGATTCATCTACAATTTGTATACTGTTCAGGTTAGTTATGTGTTTATTGGTTGTAAGTTTGATGGTATATAAAATCATATCAAATAATTTAAATATTTCTTACACTTACACGACTATATTAAATTTCTTATATATGATGGCGAAGTGTATTCATACAGTTTACAATTAAATGTACTAATAGTGTTCACAACCCAACAATTCTGCAAGCGAAACTCATCTTTATTACATATATTCTTGGGAAATCCTTTATTTGGAAATTAATTCATAATTTTATTTTAAGCATATACAGTTAATGATCTTTGTGGTTAATCAAGTCAGTGAAATTATGAAAATAACCAATACATCATCTTCATGTATTTATTTTGTTAAAAGTACTAATTTATTAATTCAGTAAATTATGATCTTTAATGTTGATCAGTTCATATTATTTTCGCATTGTTCATTAATTAAATGTAAAATCTATTTTATGGAATCTGAACTAATTTAACATAATAACAAGAGTCTATTTTTAGCCTAATAATTTAGGTTACACATATCTACTTGTAATCTCTTTCAATAATTAAATTAAAAACCTTTTGAATTCAATTAACCCTTTTTATTCATTGTTAGTATTTCATGGAAGTCTTCAAGATTGTTAGCTATTAAAAATTAATAATGAGATGGCCAGTTTATGACATGGCCCTATATATTTATCCTTATAGAGGATTGAGTTAATGAAACATTCAGAAGTCGAAAAGCAAAGCAAAGATTTCTTTCAACCTTATAATTATACTTATTGAGATCACCAAAAAGAAGTGAAAACATCTCAAGCGAAAATAATTTATTCAAGGTAATCCTTGAACTGTAAAAATAGCACTAAATGCTATACTGTAACATCACCTTACGTTTTCACACCTTCCATTACAATTATTGTTTGATACTCATTAATCTGAATTTGTCCTAATCAAAGTTACTTGCAAACCATGTTTATCCCGATAACGTATAATTAGACATTTTTCATATAGCAATTTATATCTACTTGAGCAAGCTCGTAAACTGTTGTGTAGTGTGGACTAATTTTCAGAATATAAACTATTATCATTAACATTATTATTATTATCATTAGTTATTAGAATCCCTTACTGTACCATACATTTACTTCCTAATATGGTGATTGTGACTCAATTATATTAAAACCGTCTGTCTTCTGCAACCAAATTCAATAACGGCTGTAGTCATCACGGGTCCCATAGTCATAACCAAACTATAAATAACTAATCTTTGACTCCTCTACCTCAAGTCTGACTGATAGGGGTAATACAGTTTTAGGTAAATCATTTCGTTGGAACTGTCAACCACTGAATGAAAAGTTTAAAGTTACCGTGCCCTTCTCACGAGATTTGATGACACTAGGCTCAATCCCATAATACAGACAAGTCCTGTGTCGTGGAGAGATAGTTGCCAAGTCCTGACTTGTTCTTACTATTTGTCTAGTTAATCAGTTTATAATGTAAATATACAAAATGAATAGTCTCTAAAAGACCTCCTACACTAATCTTACTCAATCTTATTTTATGTATTTTTCCTTGTTTTACGGAGTCAACATGATTATGTATTTGCGTGAAAAATCAATTGCTTTACACTAAATAGTAATCCATAGAAAGTATCACGTAACGCAGTGTCACATCAAAATTTTTATCAAGGTTTAATCAAATAGTAAAAGACAGGATATAAAGCAATAGATTGCGATATTTTGGTACATCAGTCAACCTAGTAGTTTGATTGCCCAGAGAACAGTTAAATCATATTATCTGTTACATTTATTTGATAAACACATGATCACTTACAACTTCGATTGAATGAGATAATATAAAAACCACGTAATAGTCAGATTCATACTTTCTAAAATCTTTGGAATTTTTACAGTTTGAACATCCCTTTAAAAAATAGGCTTCAATTCATCAAGGAGGAAAACTATAACTGCAAAAACCTCTAAGATTGAACTTTAAATAAATCTGTTTCCCAAGAAAAAGTGGTTCCAGCCTTATAAAAAAAAAAATCCAATCGAACTCCCAAGTTACAAAATATATGTATACATAGTTCATTCGTTAACTGTTTACTAAACAAGTTGTCCAATCATGTTAACAGTGTTTAAAGAGACTTGGTGTTGTATGATGAGTCATTCGGTACAAAAAGTGGTTAGCTTAAAAAAAATTAATTCTAGTTTCCGATATGTACAAAATAATACTCAGAATAAAACGGATTAACATTTTATCATATAAAACAAGCGAGCTTGCCTGAAGGAATACGCTGACTTGAGTAGCAGCAGGAAAAATCAACAAAGCAGGACGGATTTTGAAACAATCAGTTACTGTAGTTATAGGATCAATACAGTATTAATTCATTCTTTCAGTTTTTCTTTTCTCTTATCTTTGTAAGACACGAATATTTTATTCAATAAATCCTCTTCAGATTCTACAATTACATATCCAAATTAATAATCCAAAAAGTGGCCAGATTTAGAGCAAAGTACACCGTTTCAAGTTATATCAGGTGAATTTAGAATTGTTAAATAAAATGAAACTGTTAAAAGGTATCATTACCAGGGTTTGACTTGATAATTTCGAATAAATTGAGCATTGCATCAATTTTAATTTGGTTATTTATTCTCTGAAGAAGTGGCTTACACTACGTCAGAAAATCTAATTTTCATACTCATTGGGATATTTCAAATATATTATTTATTTATAAAATTGTTAATGTTAAGATGAGTGGTATGCAATGTTGAACACGCTTATATGTTAAGTGTAATTATGAGATCCATGATCAGAAAAAAATATCAATCTTATAGGGTGAGCGAAATAATAGTGTAATTACAAATTTGATCAACCGTTTATTGGAAGGCCACAGAGTGTAAAAATTCATATGAGATAGGTAATATCAGAAGGGGTTTTGTGAAGATTGTAGTAATTTCAATAGTTGAGATCATGAGACGATATGGCCGTCCAGGTTTTCCATGGTGATACAGCTTCATTTGACTTATGATTTCAACTATTGAAAGTACTAAAATCTCCACAAAAACGTTATTTTAATGACACAATATGAGTAACTGCTCTTTCGAAATATAGCCAATAAGTATTTCTGTATATTAAAAATGTTTTACTTACGATATTCTGTTGTTATTATTATCTTTTATAACACTATTATTTTTTTGTATGATGTACTTTTTACTTTTGTTATAAATAGATAACGAAACAACTAAATATTACTTAATATTCAAACCTTTTGATTGTATTGCTCACTCAATAGTTGGATAATATCATGAAATACACTTACAAAGGAAATGGTGAAAAAACTTTTGTACAATGTATTGTTTTAGCATGATTATTTTCAATACTGAATTCCATATGATTTGATGATCAAACAAAGGTATATACTTTTAATATTAATATTAATTTATAATCTTTAATGTTCTAAATAATTTTACCGTATAGTCCAAATCACTTGATCTATTTTAGTATTAAAATTTATTCACAAAGTTATTTTTGTTCGAAATTGAAGAATTCGAATGCTTATCTTGAAAATGTAATTATTTTTGACTATTTTAAAATTTATAATCTTCATACGTAGAATAAATAGAGAACTTATCGATTCTTAAACACTATAACATGATATGAATAATAAGTTTCATATGTGGCTAAGAGCTAATGATAGGGAGTGAAGTAGTGTCGACTGCTTCACTTATCTTAGAAGTCTCATCAGCCATTGTGGTCTGGTATGTGACGAGATCTCAGCACGGATACAGAGGGCTCGACTAGCTTTTGCCAACTTGCGTCATTTATGGCGTAGGCGAGATATCCGTCTATCAACCAAAGGACGTGTTTACTGCGCAGCAGTTCGTTCCGTCCTACTTTATGGCAGTGAAACATGGCCGGTAAGACTAGAGGATATTCGTAGGTTACTAGTATTCGATCATAGGTGTCTTCTAAGCATTGCTCATATATCCTGGGACCACTGAGTAAGTAATGCAGTTGTTAGGAAACCGGTACTAGGTAAGGATGGCAAATCAATTGATGAAGTAGTGAAACTTAATCAGTTGAGATGGTTGGGATACATGTTACGTATGCCCAACCACCGACTGCACCGATGTGTGGTGTTTCCTGGTGTAGGAGTAGGTTGGAAGGAAGCTAGGGGCGGTCAGAACAAAACGTGGCACAAATCCATGAAGTCACTGACAAGTGGACTGAGCGATGTTGGTAGGTGTAGACTACCTGATTGGGGTTCGCGAGACGATAGCAACTGATGGTTAGAGACCTTGAATGACATGGCTCAAAATCGTTTGCAATGGCACAGGTAGGTGCATCCGCTCTTTGTGTTCTCT